ATTTTTTTTTTTTTTTTTTTAAAGGAATGACAGAGGTGATGCCTACAAAGAAAACCATTCACTTGGTAACAAGAGTCTGACATTCAGTAAAATTTTGTGTCTACAATGCAAGGGACTAGGCAGGAAAAAGCCTTCTCAATGACAATGCTAAGGAGTTACAAAGATGTAAATATAGACACAGACAAGCCACTTGCCATCAAAGCTTTACAAAGAAAATAGTTGTTCAAAAGGATTCATTTATAGTAATTTCTGCCTCGCTACTGGCCAGAGAAAGGTGGTTAGCTGAAGTCAGGCAGAAAACAGAGGATGGAGGCACCTTAGAGATTTACTGGCCAGAGTAAAATTATCAGCAGCTGATCCTATAGGATAACAAAACAAGTACTTTTCATTTTCAAATCACTTTATAAGACTAATATTATGCACTTGTCAGTAAGGAAAGTAGTTATTTATTTTTTTCTTAACTAATGTAGAAGCTGCCGCAGAAAGTTTAAAGCACGCATAAGGCAAAGAATTTTCCAATTTTTTTGATGCTGACAAACTGGGCTTGATTTTCAGAAGTGTTCAACATCTACAGATGCTGCTGACTTCAAAAGAAAGCAATAGGTGCTTGGGACCTCTGAAGAGCAGACACTCAGACACCGAGAATAGTGGGTGTCCAAATTCAGAAGTCATTTTTGAAAAGCTGTGATCTAGGTGACTCACTTCACACCATCCAGCTGAGCAGCATCACAGCCAGGATTAGAATCACGAAATTTCTAGCACCCAAATGTATAGTCATGCAGCCTGTCCCCTTCCTATTTGTTCTCTCTATGTAAAATAAGGATGAGGAGATAAACCCATTAAGATTACTTCTTATATCGAAGTAGTGTTTTCTTTTGTTCCCATAAGAACTGAATGAGGGGAGCAGAAGCCAAATGCCAGTACACAATAATTTGAAATGATAGACTTTTTCATAAAGCCCAATTTAGAACCACTTTTCCGTTTCAGAGTAAATACGTCTACACTGACTGCTTTCTGAATCAGTAAAGCAAATAAAATATACTTTTTTATCCATTAGTGCTGAGAATATGCTACAATACTCTTGTAATTTCTTATTATAATAGCATATATGGAGATTAACACAGGTTGTAAATTTATCCCTGAGGAAAAATGAATCTGGTGAATGGACACATACATTTATTAGACTGAATACTCCAGGTAATGCTGGCCTAGAATATCAAGCCAACAAGCTGAATGATAGCCCTAACATAATTATGTAATTAATTAGCTCCATAATTTTTGTTTTATGACACCAAGTTTTATATGCCAATAGTTGATTTAATGGTATTTTAAATTGAACTAAGGTCCCTGAGAGAGATGCTACTTACTGCATCACAAATCTAGTTTTCAGATTTTTTAATTTCAAAGATGACCTAATAAAAGTTGCTTTATAATTAAATCCATTCTAACGACTTTTCCTTTGTGATTTTTTAATTCTCTCTCTCTCTTTAAAATCACACAAA